AGTTTGATGTTGGAGTTTTTTATTTTCAATTACTAGTTTGCTGTTTGTATTCTGTAAAGACTCATTTGATAAATGGTGCTTATAAAAGTTATCAGTAATATATTTATATATTTTTTTTTGAAGGTATGAAGATAGAAGTTTGTCTTTATCAGAACCTTTTGGATAACACATAGTTGTAATAAGATGATTCGCTACAAGTACTTCTTCACTAGGTAAGTTTTGTATCAAAGCAATCAAATGATTCTTTCGATATTCTTCTTTGGTTATAATGTTATTAGATGACTTTTAATCTATATGTTTCTCTGGTTCTTTATCAGTTATGGACTTATTGTTTGAAAATTCAGATAACATTTGACAAACTGTAACAAGCTGCTCTTGATTCATTACAACCAACTGACTTGTTATTTGTTCAATAACCTTATTATGTGACGTATTATAATGTTTCTCTAAACTTTTTTGGGCTGCTTGTCGAGCTTGATACGTAACATTATTTGTATGATTTGTAGATTCCCATTTTAGTAAAAAATTACTAAATTTGGGTGTCGAGGCTCAATTCATTCCATTTTAAGACAATTAAATTTAGTAAAATTAACAATCGATCCAGAAAAACAATATTACGTTAAAAAATTTCATGTTTTAATAAATATCTCTTTTGAATAGTACACGATATGAAACAGAGTTTTTGTAAAGAGTCGGCTTGAAATTTAGATATTATAATTAAAAAAATTTCAACATAACTTTGTTATAAGTGTATTTAAGAATAGATTTATGCAGAAATTATTGAAAAAAGTAAAGTGATTCGCTCTGGACATCTAAAAACACGCAAGTCATTTTTTACTATTAAAATATATATATAAAGTGATCAATAATCCGATCACTATCCCGATCACCAAATTCAAAAAAAAAATCATTAATTAATTTTCATATGGGACTACATATAGTTTTGATTTACTTAGTTGACCGAATACCCCAATGTTACATGAATATATTACAACTAACAATGTTGACATTCTTGCTAAAGTTCCCAATATAACTATTAAACCTAATATATCAATTTATTTAACATATCCTGTTTAGTCACTGAATCACTCTTAGATTCTTAGTTTGAAAAATGAAAGCGAAATTGTAATAATTTATAACATTGATTTAATAAATTTGACCAGTTTTCGAGTTTGATACTCTTGGCTGTTTTGATTATCGTCCCGAATGAAGTAGAATCCCGATTCCCAAACCAAAACTACTTAATAATATCATCATTCAAAA